ATGTTTTAGAAAATAACAATAATCAAGTTATTATTAATAAATTAAATGTACAAAAAATTAATGAATTGTCTCAAATAACAAATGAAATATTGAGAGATATAAAAAATGATGAAAATATTGTAAACCAATTGGTCACTGAATTAAAATTTAAATTACAAGCACTTAAAGAAGAACTTATTAATGTAGAATATGCTATCCATTGGGCCAAAGCAAATACTGCAAACTTTTATATTTTATCAAATACTGAAATTAATATAACTGAAAATGTAATAAATAATGAAAATTTTCCTTATATTAACATCGATGAGGCATAAGAATTTGCTCAAATCAGGATTGCCTCTAATGGCAATAATATCATTTTTATTGTAAATTTATCAACTACTTTCAAAGAAAATTGTAAAAAAATAATAATTAGAGCAATAAAAATAAAAGATAAGATTAATAGAATACCATTTAAAGAAATTTTAAAATGTTATGAAAATAAAAAATATGGCATTAAAAACGAATGTAAATCATACAATAGTTTAATTATATGTTCAGACAATGATATTGTTAATATAAGTAACACGTCATGCATTCCGAAATTACTCAACAGCCGTGTAGCCAACTGCAGTTTAATCCATAATCAGCATATTTCCACAGTAGATGAAATATCACAAGGAATCCTCCTGCTTAACCAGTACAGCGGTAACATAAGCATAGACAATAAGATAACTAAACTAAATGGTGCATATGCAGTGAGGCATCATAACGCCACAATTCACATCAATAATAAATATTTTATATCCAACGAAATATTAAACCACCAACCATTACCAGCAATACTTCAGCCTACAGCAAATTTTGGAAAAATTGAAGAAGTCTTTTCTTTAGAAATGATGAAAGAATTACATGTAAATGACACAAAATATAGAGATAAATTGGATATAGGAAACAAAATCAGTCTTACTACAAATATGACACTAATTGTAACAGCTTTGCAGCATTAGTTTTCATTGGCATTAGGGCCCTTCGCAGGCACAAAGTAAAATCAATAATAGAAGCGCAGACCGAAACACCAATTCCACAAGGGCGAATATTGATTCAGTCCTAACTCTAGGAATCGAGAACTTACCATGTCAATTTAGACCTACAACATCAAACGAGGACGTTTGTATTTAAGGGTGGAGGTATTAAGGATAAAAATGCATAAAAATGGAGCAGTAACAACAATGCCCAACACGTGCAAATTATAATTTGCTGACAGTGCGTCTACTACAGCATGAGAACTCTACATTCAACATTCACATGGCAATGCAACGCGATTACCTAAAAATTTCGGTTACAGCCCAACATTGTAAAATTATTAATAGGCCTTTTCGGTGGCTCACAAGTACGGCAAAAAATGCATGTTGGCCTATATTGGCCACGCGAGGCATTGGCATCACTGTTGCAATCTATCAAATGTTTTGTTTTGACAAACAGCAAATCTTGTATATGTGCATATAAATCAAATATATTTTTATAAAAATATTATAAAATTAAAATGAACACGGAATTAAAAGGAATGGTAAGAATATTGGAAATTTAAAAATAAAACACTAAGTAAATTTTTGTAGGTACTGTCGATGTTGGGAGAAGAAAGCAACGTTTTGCAGCGGCCGAGGGATGCAAGTTGTTTCACGGATTTTTTAAATGTTATGAATGCACTCTAGAAAACATTTCGTTTCCTTTGTGGTCCATAGTTGGCGTGTATTTCTATAAAAAAATTTTTTAGAAAAACTTCAAAAATTATGTTTGTTTAGTTAATTTTACGTATGTAAACTACAAATTAAATGAAATAAAATAAATGTTACTTGGTAATAACTAACATAATAAAAAATTCAATGTGCTTAATACTTACGATTTCTCCATTCTTATTATTTCTTCGTTACTTTTCAAGATTTTTCAAATTTTTGAATTCTGTTTGAATTTTTATTTCCTCAATTTTTGACATTTGATTGCACTATTCGTTGAAATTTTCAATGAAGGTTCACAATAGTTCGCTTATTGCGTTGGTAACATTTTTTTTTTACTGGCCGATGTGGTTGGCCAGCATAACTATGCTGGCCGAGGTAGAGAAAATAGTGTTGTTGTTTTGTGTACATTGCGGCCAGTATAGGCCAGCATAGGCCAGCAACTTGCTGTTTTTTGCCGTACTTGCGAGCCACCGAAAAGGCCTAATGTTAGTTCTAATTCCTGTTTTCAATAAAGAAGTAGCATAGCTACGTAAATAAACTAATCAAATTTATATTTTTTTTATACAAGAAACAGGAAAAGAACAAATTTATATAAAAAAGATATAAAATTTAATTATATATTGTTCTATTTCTTATGCTTTTAGTTTGCGTATTTTTAAATGAATTATTAGAGAAATTTATTTATGCAATGTCTTTAATTTTGTATATTATATTTAAGAATACGTACATATGTATATGCAAACAACAACACTTATTTATTAAATTTATTTATTTATTAAATTAAAATTTAAGTTAATGATGAGATAATTTACTAAATTAAGGAATTAATTAAAATTATTTAAAAATAAATTTATTTGTTATTAAAACAAATATATCTTTAAATGTAAACTTTAAATTTATGTTAAAAAAATTGATAATTTCTTATAACTAATTAAATTTTAACTTCTAAAAAATTATCTTTAAAAAACCTTTAAGACAGCATAAAATATTTACATACATAATTTACATAATTTAATATAATTTACATAACTTAATACCTGGTTTGCATAATTTAGTTGTGGATTTGTATAAATAGTGTAAATTCTGGGATTACGTTCATTAATAGTTTGGATTTTGAATTGCGCGCATAAATTATTAAGGACATTTTTTTGAAATTGAGTGAAAGTGAAAGTAAATAGTGTCAATAATGTGTGATGAAATTGAATTTGAAGGTGTTGAAATGTGGCCTTTATCCTCATTAGATTTAAGCCAGCAAACTGCTAACGACATTATCGAAGAGGATTATTCAGAAGAATTTTCTCCTTCGAAACTGGTATTTGTACCAACGGTAAGAAAATTTATTTCAAAGAAATAATAAAACATTTAAATAAATATAAATTATTGATTATTATACCATTATAATTTAAAGCCATCAACGTCATCCGACATATGAGCAAATTGAAGATAAAATTAACAAGATCAACAGAACATACGGTGTGCCTTCTAATAAAATTACAGCCACAGTAACAGATAATGGCTCTAATTTTATTAAGGCCTTTAAAGTATATGGAATTGAATCGAATTGTTTTGATGAAATGACAGAAATGACTTTTGAATCATTTCTACCTAATAACGAGCAGAGACCTAGGCTGTCAAAGCATATCAGATGAGCGAACCACTTATTAAATTTAATAACGACTAAAGACTTGATAAATTTGATTGAAAATGACGCAGAGCTGTTTAATATGCATAAACAGGTAATCTAATTTAATTTTTTAATATAATTTAATATGATTATAGTTTAATAGTAATTGTGATTATAGAAATATCACAAAAAGAGAAGAATAATAAACATTTTTATTTCTCCCAAAGGCTTTTTCGAAATGCAATAATTTGTGGGCAAAAGCTGGCAGGCCAAGTTCTTCTGATGTAATACAGAAGGTTTTGGGTTCATCGTTGAGTTATCCCGTAATAACACGTTGGAACTCAACATATGATGCTGTGATAAAAATTATTTGTGCGGAAAATAAGTTTAATGACTTATGTGACCAGCTGAATGTTAATGAATTTGTTGCTGATGATATTTTGTATTTAAAAAATTACGTTACGGTGACGAAGCCATTTGCGGACGCCTTGGACTATCTACAACGCGCGGATGGAGTATATTACGGTTGTCTGATTCCTACTCTAGTAACTATTCTAAACAATGTTAGAAAAATTACTGATGAAGAACATGACAACGTTTTAAGAAACGTTCTAGAGTTATTAAAGGAAAAATTAATTCACCGATTCTACAAGTATTTTACACTTTCAAATGAAGCAGAGGAGGCAATTGTTGCGTCTGTTCTCTATCCTTTGTGCAAGCTTTACTGGCTTGACTCTTTGAAGGATTTGACTTCGCGGTCCCGAGATGAGATTTTTAAAATGTTTGTGGAGCACATCGCAGAAGCGAATCCTGGCGAGCAAGAAAACTGTGAGAACGTAGAAGTTCAAAACATTGCTAGCAATTCGTTTTTCAATTTCCGTGAGCCTTTAACTTTACAATGTGAAAGCGAATTGCACCACTTTTTGAATGCAAGTTTTATCAACATAGGCATAAAGAAATTGCGTTTAATCACAAACACGTTCAGAAAGTCAAATACGCCACTGACGTCTTCAGCACCTGTGGAACGAATATTTTCTTTCGCTGGTATCGTTACTACACCCAGGCGACATGCGATTTCAGATGAGCATTTTCAAATGCTTACAGTACTAAAAGCTAATATAAATTTCCACTAATTTATAAAATGTAAATTATGTAAAATTATTTAAATTATGTATGTAAATATTTTATGCTGACTTAAAGTTTTTTTAAAGATAATTTTTTAGAAGTTAAAATTTTATTAGTTATAAGAAATTATCAGTTTTTTTAACATAAATTTAAAGTTTACATTTAAAGATGTATTTGTTTTAATAACAAATAAATTTTTTTTTAAATAATTTTAATTAATTCCTTAATTTAGTAAATTATCTCATCATTAACTTAAATTTTAATGTAATAAATAAATAAATTTGTAGTAAAGAATGCAATAAAATATAAGTTTTTAATAATTTTATTTAAAGTTTCTTTTCAACTAACAATTATGTTGCTTCGATAACAACGAACTTAAAACTTGAACGTATGTGTTTTAAAAAACAGAATTGTCAAATTTTTATTTGATTTGTAATTTATTAACTTCTGTTTTTGATGATGCCACATGAGCGCCACATCACTCCCCCACCAGTGGTTGAGTAGAAACGATGCCACGTTACACGCACTTGATCCTATGTCAAAAATCTGACAGGTAATCGAATAACTCTGCCACTGGATGCGCTATGACCAGAGTTGAGCTCCTGCTGAGGTCTTCGTATAGGTTGTGCATCTGGACTTGACTGAAGTGAAATATATCGTGACAACTGTGTGTTTGATTCGATTTCTTCATTCAACAAGTAAGCCGCCTTCACTCTATCAATGCTCACTTGGACAGGTCGGTCTTTGATTAAAATGGTAATAAGCTTACGATCACGCTGTATCAGTTTGTATGGTCCGTCATAAGGTGATTTCAAGGAAGGTCGAATGTTATCATCCCTTAGGAACACGTGTGAACACGTCTGCAGGTCTCGTTGAACGAACGTTTTCGCTTTTGCATGATTTGAACCTGGAACCGGACGTAATTGATCCATGGTCTCCCTTAGAAAAGTTGCGAATTCGGAGTCACATCCGATGTGAGACGTCTTCTCAAAGAATTCTCCTGGAAGCTTAAGAGATGTACCATATACCATTTCTGCTGGACTAGCTTGGATGTCGTCTTTGAACACACTCCGTAAAGCCAGCAATATCAGTGGTAATTCCTCTGTCCACCTTTGATTAGACTTACACTTCAGTGCAGCTTTTAGTGTTCTATGAAATCGTTCCAGAATTCCGTTCGATTGTGGATGTCACGAACTTGTACGTAGATGTTTAGTACCAATCAACTGCATAAGTTCAGCGAACAACTTTGATTCGAGCTGCCTGCCCTGATCTGTAGTGATCTCTGAAGGAACGCCATAGTGTGAAACCCATCCCGTGATGAACGCCGCAGCTACTGTGTCTGCACTAATGTCCATAATGGGAATAACAACAGGCCACCGGATAAATCGATCTATGCATGTCAGGCAGTAGCTGTAACAGTCTGATGGTGGTAATGGCCCCACGATATCAAGGTGTACTGCTGCAAATCGCCGGTCAGGTGCCTTGAAGGTTCCGAGTATTGTTTTGTTGTGTCTACCTATTTTAGCTCGCTGGCATTGTGGACATGTTTTTACCATTTCTGCTACATCCCTTTTAATGTTTGGCCAGACAAATCGTTCACTAATCAGTTTTGCCGTGGCCTTGCTACCTGGATGACCTAAATTATGTATGGTGTGAAAAACTTGTCTACGAAATTCATCTGTGATCCACGGTCGCGAATGCTTTGCTGAGAAATCGCACGTAATAAGATTCGATGAACTAGGTAGATGCACCAATTTAAGCTGAAGCGAAGTCTTGCCCTGTGATATGAGTTGTTGCAGCTCCATGTCATTTCGTTGGCTCTTTGCTAACTGATCAAAGTCAGTCTGCTTTTCCCCCTGTATTGATTCAATGCGTGATAGGAAATCAGCAACGCTGTTGTCTTTACCGGGAAAATGTCTGATATCAGTAGTAAACTGACCTATGTAATCCAGATAACGCAGTTGCCTGGGCGATGCTTTTTCAGGATTTTACTGAAATGCAAAAATAATGGGTTTATGATCAGTTAACACCGTACAGTTCCTGCCTTCTACCATATGTTTGAAATGCTTAATTGCTTGATAAATGGCAAGAAGTTCTCTATCACAGGTACTGTACCGTCGTTGTGTGTCAGTTAACCGTTTTGAATAAAAACCAAGTGGTTCGAGTCGGCCTTCACGGATGTGATGCAATGCAGCTCCCACCGCTGTATTACTCGCATCGACATGTAGAATGAGATTGGCTTCTGCTGTTGGGTGTGCAAGTGAACTGGCATCAGCAAGGGTTTTCTTAAAATCAACGAATGCTGATTCAGCTTCTTTTGTCCACTTAATCGGCGTTTTGTCATTTTTCCGATTTCCTATTATTAGTTTCTGCAGCTTTTCTTGAACTACCGCTGCATTAGGAATGAAACGACGATAAAAATTCACCATGGCCAAAAAACGACGAAGTTCTTGCGCACTGCTTGGCTTCGGACAATTGAGAATTGCTTCAACCCTTTCTTTTGGCGGACGAATGCCATTTTGATCAATACTGTGACCGAGAAAGATAACTTCCGTCTGAGCAAACACGCACTTGTTGATGTTGAGTTTTAGACCGAATTGGTGTAAACGCTGAAACACTGTGCGAATGTGTTGAATGTGTTCAGCTTCATTCCTAGACGCCATGCAGATATCGTCTATGTAACATACCGTGAAGTCCAAACCGCTAAGTACTTGGTCCATGAACCGTTGGAAAGTTTGAGCTGCATTGCACAGTCCGAATGTCATCACATTAAACTCGAACAGCCCGAATGGTGTGATAATAGCAGTTTTCTTTCTGTCCTCAGGTGCTATAGGTATACTGAAGTAAGCTCGTTCCAAGTCAAGTGTGGTGAAGATAATTTTACCACTCAAATTCTGAGTAAAATCTTGAATGTGCGGTATCGGGTAACGATCTGGAACTGTTTGTGGATTGAGTCGTCTGTAATCTCCGCACGGCCTCCAAGTACCATTTTTCTTCTCCACCATATGTAACGGATTGGCCCATTCGCTTTTTGAAGGAGTGCATATCCCTTGATCAAGCATGTGCTGGAACTCACTTTTTGCTGCTTGCAACCTTTGTGGATTGAGCCGCCTTGGACGTGCATAGACTGGTTGCCCCGTGGTAACGATGTGATGTTGCACCGTGGTTCTTACTGCTCCAGACTTGTTATACGATGTTGGAATTGTTAGATCTTTGAACTCTTCCAATAATTTTCGGGATGGATGATCTGCATTCACTGCGAATACTGGCTCTGGCATTTGTAACGCTGTTGCACAATGAACTTTCATATTAGTTTTGCTGTCAACGAGGAGTTTACGCTGCAAATCTACCATTAGACCGTAATATTGCAGAAAGTCAGCTCCCAGTATAGGTTTACATACATCGGCTACGACGAACTCCCAATCAAGCTTGCGCCGCAGGCCAAGATTCAACGTCATTAATTTATTTCCGTATGTATGGATTGAAGTTCCGTTTGCTGCATACAAGAGTTTGGCAGATGCTGTCGGCTTAGTTCTGCCGAAGATTGATACGGGTAGAATTGAGAAATCTGCACCTGTGTCGATAAGGAATTTCAATTGTGTCGAGGGATCTAAAACATATAATCGGCTGGATTTGTAATAACTTTTTGCTTCGCCAACCGCCGGTGACGAAGCGGAATTTAGTTTTCCATGGTTGTGAAACTGCATGGCTTGGCACACTTGCGCGCACTTGCGCCAAAACGATGATGGTAGAAACACACTGGATATTTCAATACCAGGTTTTCCGGGCGCGTTCGTGAATGTTGTGTTCGTGCCGGTGTATTTGATCTACGTCGTGAGCGAAATTGGTGTTGCGACACTTTGCTGTCTCGAAACTGCTTGCTAAGTTCTTCCACAGCATTCACTAAATGCTTGACATAAAAGGAAGAAGACACAGCTGGATTGTTACCTAAATTTCTCTCACTGGTATGCACTTCAGAAACAGAATTGTAATTTCCCATTTCCAGCATTATATCTGCTTGTTGTGCACATTTATCCAAATCGACATCAGAAATGGACACGACCGCTCGTACAGCTTCTGGTAGACGATCCAACCACAATTGTTTTATTGCGCCATCGTTCATAGTGCCACTGGACAAATCACGCATCGTTCGTAGCAAATGCGACGGCTTGTGGTCACCTAACTGACATTCTTGCATGAGCCGTCGAAGTTTGCGATTTTCTGAATCCACGAAATCTTGAATCAATCGTCTCTTGACTGCTTCATACTTATTAACGGCAGGTGGAGCACGTATGATATCGGCGATGTTCCTCAACGTGTTGCTGTCGAGACTGCCGACAACGTGGTCGTACTTCGTTTGATCCGTTGTTACGCCCGCGTTTCGAAACTGCGACTCCATTTGAATGAAATATAGATCTGGATCTCGTTTGCTGAAAGCAGGTGCTTTAACTCCTATGCGGCAAATGTCACCAGCTAGAGTGTTAATTTGCGCACTATTAACTGTCAGCATATCATTAGCATCATGTACATTATTTTCTGCTTCAGTTTGCTACATGTTTTGAATTGTTCCGAATTTACGACTTTTATTATTAATAACTACCGTAGCACTTATTTCTAACCGTCGAGGGTCACCAATGTAGTAAAGAATGCAATAAAATATAAGTTTTTAATAATTTTATTTAAAGTTTCTTTTCAACTAACAATTATGTTGCTTCGATAACAACGAACTTAATCAATGGCACACTCTCACGCTGGATGAAACTTGAACGTATGTGTTTTAAAAAACAGGATTGTCAAATTTTTATTTGATTTGTAATTTATTAACTTCTGTTTTTGATGATGCCACATGAGCGCCACAAATTTAATAAATAAACGTTGTTGTTGGCATATACATATGTATGTATTCTTAAATATGATATACAAAATTAAAGATACTCCATAAATAAATTTCTCTAATAATTCATTTAAAAATACGCAAACTAAAAGCATAAGAAAGAAAACAATATATAATTAAATTTTATATCTTTTTTATATACATTATTTAAATAAATTTATCAATAAAGATTTTCTTGAATTAATTTACAAACACTTTTAATCTGTCTTAAATTATAAAACCAAAGCGTATAAGCTAAATTTTTTTTTTCTTTATTCTTAATCAACTAGACAATCAACAAAACGTATCAAAATGCACATTATCGCTTAAAAAAACAAATGTAGGCATAAAGATAAACTTGTACTTATATTTGCTTACACGTTGTACACACATTTTATTATTATTATTGAGTAAGGGATCGTGCACTGCGACCTAAAAGATCTATTGTGCCCCTTTGTCGGGTTAGAGTATTTCTCCAAGTCCGATTTCTTTAATGAAAGACAGTATGGATCCTATCTTCCCCAGTCTTGAATCCTTATGATCCATGAAATACCCTCCTAGGTGTTTCTTTCGTTTATGCATCAGTGCCGGGCACTCCCCAAGCACATGGTATGCCGTTTCTCTCTCTTCCCTGCAGTATCTGCAGTCTGAGTTGGATTGAATTCCTAACTTCAATAGGTGATTATTCAATCTGCAGTGACCGGTCAGTAATCCCGTAATAATTCTTATGTTAGTCTTTGATTGCACTATGCAATCTTTAAAGCGTTTTAGGTTGTAAGTCCCTAAAAGCATTTTAGATTGTGAGAGTCTTGGTAGCATTAACCAATAGAGTTCTCTCTCTTTTTTCTCTGCGTCATTCATGATAATAGATAGGGCTCCTTTGCCTAGACCACAGAATGGTTCTGGGCCTATCATTCTTGATGCCGCGCCTCTTCTTGCAAGTTTGTTTGCCATTTCATTACCTTGGATACCAGTATGTCCCGGAATCCATAAAAGGTGCACCTGATTGATCCCACCGAGTGTGTTCAGCTTGTCAATGCATTCCCATACCAGTTTGGA